CTGTACTAATGAGTTGGCCTACCATGAAACAGCATGTAGGATCATTAACTTTGTTTAATAACTAGTATCAGAATTAATACTGTCTTCTTGTTTTTTTAAAAAAAAAATCTGTGAAATATCCATCTGTCTGTAGATTGAAACTTTTTATTCACTAATGGTTTAAGAAAAGATGTTTGTGGGCAAAGAAGGTAACAAAGGAGTGGTTTAGGAACCAAGACCATGAGATAGAAACATGAAGTAAATTGACAATGCAGATCTGATGGCATAGAAGAGAAGCTCATTTTCTGTTTTGGAGAGAAAAGGCATTAAAGAGTTATGGGAAAGAGAAAATCAGGCTGGTGGAATGCTACTGACTGCCTGTGCCATCTCCTTGCCGACTTCTTGCACAGCAGATTTATCTGTAATGTTTTGTAAACAATAATTGCTTCGAATCATTTATTTTTACAACATAGCGTGAGTGTTTAGTCCAAATGAATTTCTTACAAAAGACCATCCATTAGGAAGACATAAATTTATTTAATATATTGAAAAGAATTTATAAGGCTGTCCATCTCTCACAGCAACTCTGGGTGTGTGCTGTCCCACTCATGCACATACACACTCCATGGGTTTAAGGAATCTTTATTAAGGCTTCCGAACCTGAATTGGTATTCCCCGGTAATTCCCTGGGCCGGCAGCAACTCAGCCCCAATGAGTTTCACAGGCTTCTCAAATGAAGCCAACACTAGTCCCCAAGGTAAAGGCATATCCAGTCCACTAGGCCAAGGCAAGTTTCCAAGGCAAAAGCAAGTTCCAAGACAGGCAAATCCACAGGTCAAGGCAAGGCAACACAAGGCAAAGGAAACAGCTGAAGAGACACGATCTGAAATTCAAGGCAAGAACACATAGCAAGAAAACAAACACGTTGTTCCCAGCACCGTCTCCATCTGTCTGCTGTGCTAAGTAGCCACCTTCTGGTGCAGCCCATCAAAAGGGCAAGGGAGCCTCCTTGAGAGTAATCTGGCTGACCTTTGCTGCTTCTGCCTTTTCCCTGCCTTACATGTTCCTGGATCAGGTGCAGAAGGCAGTTCCTCTTCCTCATCACTGACCGGCTGCAGCTGCATGCTTTCCCCACCTGAAGCCTCAGGGCTGTCCTGCTGCAGCTGTGCTTGAGCCAAATCGCTCTCAGACATCTGCTTGGAGCCATTGACCAATTCCCCTCCTGATGTGCCTGGAACTGGTGCAGCTTCCTCCAAGCTGACTTCTGGAAAGGTATCTGGGGAAGCGTCCAGGGAAGTTATCACAGGATGACGTGCAGGATTAATGATAATAATAGTTTAACAAAACTCAACTCAACATGAGGCCACAAACACAATCCAATTCACAAAGAATAACATTAACCAATATTAACCAGCAGAGCTCCCCTAAACACATGGCCCAAATGCCTGAGGGAACAACACGGTCTTTCATGCCTTATGAAAGGATAATAGGGCTGGGGCCATCCTAATCTCTGGAGGGATCCTATTCCATAGGGCCGGCACTGCCGCAGAAAAGGCAATATTCCAGAATGGCATTGTTTAATGGAAAGGATAGGGAGCATGCTCTTCCTGCTAGATCTGGTGGGTCAAGCAGAGATCAGGGGAGAAAAGTAGCCCCACAAATAGCCTGGCTGTATGCTATGGAAATCTTTATAGGTGGCAAAGAGCATCTTGAATCTCACCCAAAAGCCTATAGGGAGCCAGTGCAGCTTGCAGAGCAGTGATAACCATAACAAGAAACATCTAAACCAGTGTTTCTCAACCTTGACAATTTTAAGGCATGTGGACTTCAATTCCCAGAATTCCACAGCCAGCATTGCTGGCTGTGGAATTCTGGGAGTTGAAGTCCACTTGCCTTAAAATTGTCAAGGTTGAGAAACACTGATCTAAACTGTCTGTACTCCTGCATTGTAGACCAGCTGTAGCTTCCAAATGCTTTTCAAGGGCAGCCCCATGTAATGTGCATCATCGTAAGCTAAACCGGAAATGACTAAGATATGTGAGTCAATATGAGCAAGGTCAACCAGTCTGGAAAGGAATGCAGTTAGTGTACAAGGTGAATCTTCATGTAGATGTTAAATAAGAGTGGGGAGAGAGTAGATCCCTTAGGAACCCCCAGCTCAGTCTCTCTGTGTCCTCCCTGGAACTGGCGCCAAGGAAAGTAGAGATTCATCATAACTCTGTGCCTCCCACTCACATCTCCTAAGTAAGCCCAGAAAGATGCCATGAGTGATACTATTGTAAATGAAAAATCAAGGAGGACTAAGATAGATTAGCCTGCCTGAGGTTATCAATCAGATCAGTGCTGTCTCAGTATCCCAGCCAGGATTGAATGTTTCGGAATCATAATTATGGGAAATGTACTTCAAGTAATTCAAGTGATATTCTTTAAAAAAAAAATACAGTGCATTCACTTCAGTGTTACATTTGTATTTGATTATTAGATGGTAGATGTGGCCCATCACAAGTCCGGTAGACACATTACAAACACGTGAGTTTAACAGAACTAAATAAAGAAATAAAAGGCAGTAGAAAGTGGTAATAGTTTTCTGTTTATTATCAATTACCCTGAATGGTTTACAACATATTGTTAAAAGTCATAATAAAAAAGTGAAATAAACACTGGGAAAAAAAAAGTCAATTAAAAAGAACATGCCATGGGATGTTAAGAACTGGGAAAGGGCAACATTAAAAAAAAATTGAAAAGGATATCTGAACAACTGACACTGGGACCTGATGTGCCACAGAAGAGTGATTATTCCTCAGAATAAGGACCACTGTGGAGACACCTCATCTGCATGTTGCCACTAGGCAGCAATCTGCACATAGAAAGTAGCATTACAACATAGGCACATACACACTCCTAATAAAAGAAAGAGGAGCAAAGACAGAAACCATCATAGTAATAATAGGTAGATACCACTCTTGCAGCTAAAGTGTTCGAAGTGAAAATGCCTAGCAGAAAAATAATGTCTCTGTCCACCTTCTGTGTTTTCGGAGTGAGCCAGTGTCATGCCTTCCTGGGGGAAATAATTGTTGAAAGAGGAGAAATCCTCCGGGGAACAGCATGACAGGCATCAAACAACTGGACTTCTGTTTTAAAAAAGACTTTTCCATAAGTAAGAAGCCTCTACCTCGTAGTCACCTACCTAACCTCTTGGCAGGGGTACCCAGAGGAGAGCCTCTGAAGGTGACCTGCATTTTATCCTTCTGAAGGGATTTCAGGTATACTTCGAGGAAGAGTGTAGCCAAAAACAACGCTCTCTCCCTTAACTATTCTTGCCAGAATAACATAGACTTGGTCAGTAGTCAGCATTGATTAGAGGTCATTGGGTGATTCGATTTAGCCTAAATATCAAAGCTCCTGTACACTTTAAAATAGCTGTGGCATTTAGAATATTCCAAAATATACATACTTGTAAGTAAATCTGGCTAAGCTCTGTTATAAATATTCTAAGGCTATATTGTCACCAAATGCAAAGTTAATAATGTCTAGCTTATTACATGTGTGATATTAAAATCTTGATCCTTAGCTGGATGAAGGCTATTTTTTTTTTGCTTGATTTTTTGCTCGGGGTTTGTATTTTGGTTACAAAAGCTTTCTGTAAGAAAAAAATAATGGAAGGATGTGAGGAAAAAACTCGTAATTGCTGAATTTATCTTTGTTTCTAAAGAATTATAAACTTCTTTGGTAATGAATGTTATACATTTCAAAAGCTTAATAATTCTGATGGATAATATAGATCAGGGGTCCCCAATCCCTGGGCTGTAGCCCACTACTGGGCCACGTGAGCACTGAGCTGGCGCATGCACGCGCACAGCTCAACTTGCACAAGCAGCGGGTTGGTGCGCAGGTGGAGCTTGACTTGTAAAAGTCAAGCTGTGTACACACGGACCAGCCCGCTGCTTACGCGAATCGAGCTGCATACTGTGCACCGGCCCACTATTTGCATGGCCCAGTTCCCTCCTCCCCCCGTCCACTAAGCTGTAAAGATTGGGGACCGCTGATATAAGTTACAAGAACTGGAAGCCCAAATTCCATACATATGTGAAATTTAAAACTATACTTTGGTTTGCATTCACAAGATCAGAATTGAACACGACTATCATGTCTTTGGAAAGCCTTCTCAAGGCATATCTTCAAGCCCTATATATACTACCATTTTTTTGACCTTTTCTGAACCCTCTCAACCTGTCAGACTTGTATGTGCAATGTGTGATTTCATCAGTACACAATAGAAGCAATTGACATCGGGTGGCTTTGATACAACCTCTGCCTGCTAATTCAGCACCAAGTTACAATAGCCCTTCTAGCAACTATCTCACACTGCTGATTTATGTTCAGCCTGTCACTGACCACACTTATGCCCTTTTCAGATATAGAATTTCCAAGCCATGAGTACAGTATGTGTGTCCTGTATTTTTCTGAAGTTGTGGTAGTTTTCATTTCTCCCCGTTGAAGGACATCTTATCTCTCTCAGTCCAGTCTTCCATCCTATTAGATTAGACTACCATGCTGGGATGTCAGCCAGACCTCCCAATTTTATGTCTTCCAGAAAGCTAATAAGGAGCCCCTCATTGCCATCTTCTGGGCCATTAATACTAGGCTCAGAATTGATCCTTACAGAACCCCACTAGTTACAACTTTCCGACTCAACACGGTATCATTAATGCTGACTGTCTGTGTGCAGTTAGGTAGCTATTGTGAACCACCTTACTGTAGTGTCATGCAAATCACCCTGTAGTAGCTTGTTAGGAAGAATGACATGTGGAACCTTATCAAAAGCTTTGCTGAAATCAGATAGATTATATTCACAGCCTTTTCCTAGTCCAGCATTCAACCAGAAAAAGACCTGATGAATAATGTTAATATAATAATTCTGCCCTAACTCATGCTGATTAAAATAGAGATTCTCTCTAACTGCCATTATAAAGAAATTGTGATAGCTGGAAGATAGTAACCCGCATATTTTGTTATTTTAGGGTCCATGGTTCCATTTTCAATGCGGATTTTGCACGCAGAACTTCAACAGTATCTTGGAAATCCTCAGGAGTCACTTGATAGACTACACAATATGAAAACAATCTGCACAAAGGTAAACGTTCCTTTAGACAGCCCATGAAACATTTGAGGTAAAGCAGATGTATAAGACTGAGCTCTTAGAAATTTCAGTGGTAGAAGTGTTGGCTGAGCAATTCTGGAAATCAAATTCTACTCAGCTGGAGGGAGCCCAGACTGCAAAGAATGATTTATAACCTTGCTCGGAACAAACATCAAGTTTCAACTATCCATATGCAAATACGATGCAAAGGCACTTGAACCTTTGGGGAGAGCCTAAAAGGAGGCTGTCATTTCTAGCTTCTTGTGATAACGTTTTCTCTCTGTAAACTGGCTGATAACCAGAATATGAATGCTGACGATTCTATTTTGCTTTCACCTGAGATTCTAATTTCAGGACCATCTCTAGAATGGCAAAAGTAGCAGTAAGTTTCACTGGGTGAATCTGAATTCTAGCACCCTCTTTATCTACATCGTGGCTATTTCTTTTATTCTTCAATTGATGTTTTAATATATTAAAAGTTCCCTCAATATTTCATCTTTTTGTCATAGGAGAGCCATTGGATAAAGTCATCCACTGATTTGGGTGAAGTATCATCAATACGCAGATCGACCCCCATTATATATCTTTACCCCAAACCAAATGGGAGAAATCCTGGAGGCGGTTAGGGTATCTAGTGAGGAGACCTAGATTGAGACTCCACCCAAGATGGAATAGCTATTAATTCAGAAACCTGTCATTTTCAGGATTATATCAACTTTGCCTTTGGATGCGGTTATGCTCCTTCTTGAGGAGGAAGTCCTTAGGTTTGGGGTTCTCGTGGTCTCATGGGAGCAAGTGAAGGGCCTGTACAGCTAGTTCAGCACTAGGGGGGGACCTTTCGCAGAGCGGGGGCAGTGAGGACAGTCACGTGTGTATGTTGAGGCTGCCATTAAAGGAACTTCAGCTAGAACAAAACGCAGCTGCACATACGCTTATATATCAGACTCATTGCTGCTGCTGTGTTACCATTGCTACACAAATGGCACAAAATGCCAGTTAGTTACTGAGTACAGTTTACCTTGGAACTGGGGTAGCTTGGAGATTGTCCATTTTGCTTGAAATCTGCCCCTTCGATGTGTGCAGGAAAACAATCCCCACTGAGGACCCCCATTTATTAGCACATCTGACAAAAGAGGTCACAAAATCTGGCTCCCCCATTGGCTTTGCTGATCAGAAGGTCACAAAAATGATCACATGACCTGGGACACTGCAACTGTCACAAATACATGCCAGTTGCCAAGAATCTGAATTTTGATTGCATGACCCATGGGGAATGCTGCAGTGGTTGTAAATGTGAAAAACGGTTATAGGTCACTTTTTTCAGCGCTGTTGTAACTTTGAACAGTCATTAAAAGAATGGTTGTAACACGAGGACTACCTATACTTGCTGCTGGAGGCATGAATGGTCCTCCCCTTTCTGGCTGATAATTTTTATTGAAGCTATGGACTGTTTAGGGATTCAGAAGTTCAATGCAATCCTTTTATTCTAAGTCAGTCAGCTATTTCTTTGCTGCTTTGGGAGTCATTAATTCTAGGCTAAGTACTGGAGTGCTGCTATACTTCTTTCAGATTGGATTTCTGGAGGAGAAAGTTAGGAAGCTTTGCTGGTCTGTGTTTGTGTGTGTTTATGTGCTTATGTGCGTGTAAGTATAGTTCAGTATAGCTTCCCCAACCAACAAACATGTTGAGGTGCTAACATAAAAACAATGATATCACCTCAGAAAGTGCTGAATATTTACAGGGAAGCTTTGTTTATTGGTTTTATTTTCGAGTGTGAGAGAGATTTTTTTTTAATTGTGAGGAGCAAGCTTGCAAGAGAGTTCGGAGAGAGTGTTTAATTTTTAAAGAGTGACATGCTAGGCAGGGGAAGAAGAAAACATACTGTATATCTGTATGTGCTTGTTGTTCTAGCTGATGTGGGGATGGGCAGAGAGAGAAGAAGAGAAAATGAAGCTGATCAAATGTGTTCTGTAAAAAATCAGACACAGGAGAATCAAGAGAGCAGTTCCCAGGGCCACGTTGGAGGACTTTTCTCTTTAGGAGAACTGCCTGAATCAGCAGCATTGCAACAGCCCTAGCAACAAATGCTGCTTAGTGAGTGTGTTCTGACCCTGCTGTTGTGGGCTCCAGAACTATCAAAAGATCTGGATGCTACGGCTGTTGGCAGGTACATTCTTATAAATATCCAGCCTATCTTTTTCAGTTTCAGTTTTCCCCTCGTGGCAATTGGTTATGCAGGTCAGACTCTGTCTCTTTTGCCCAGAAAGAGAGACCGTGCAAAGGCCTTCCCCATTAGCTTAATCTTGTGTTGGGCCTTTCTCTCTCCTCAAGCAGAGATACGAGGAAGACCATCACTGCAGTTAAATAACTCCACTCACCCACTAGAATCAAGCGGAGGGGAAAGCATCGGTTACCCCTGCTTAAACATGAAGGCATGAACAGACCCTCTGCCTATCCAGAATATGAGTCTGAAAGCTACTTTCTCTCTTCCCCAGTGGTGCTTTTCAAAAGGCAACTGGACTTCCTTGGGGGGATTTTTTTCTTTGAAAATATTTCACTTCTCAACTAAGAAGCTTCTTCAGTTCTGACTGAATGGTGGGGAATGGAAGAATGAATATATATATATATATATGTGTGTGTGTGTGTGTAGGTCTTTGGTTGTTCGGGTTTTCTCCCGCGTAAAATTGGAAGTGTCTTGGCGACGTTTCGACGAAGTCCCATTCGTCATCTTCAGGCTGGTGTTTTCAGCTTCGTGCTTTGAGCAGCAATGTGTGGTCTTAGCTGTTTATTCCTTTTAACTGCCAGTAGGGGTATGAACTGATTGGGTGGGAGCTTGGCTGTGTTCTGATTGGGTGGAGGTGTGTTCTGAATGGTTAGGGGCTTGGCTGTGCTCTGATTGGCTGGGGGATTGGCTGTGCTCTGATTGGCTGGGGGAGTGTTCTGTTTGGGTGGGGGCTTTGTTGTGCTCAGGTTAGTCTGAGTTGCCGGGGGGTTTAAAATGGTGAGCTGCATTGCTAATTTTTGGCTTCTCTGATTATTCTGTTATTAAAATGTTCAGTTTGGGCGATAGTTCTGGTCTTTTTAAAGTCAATTTCATGTCCTGTGCAGACAAGGGCAATGCCACGGTGGTTATGAACACATCTGACTACCAAACCAAATTAACCAACCTACTCCAAGACTCCACATACAAACCCCTAAATACAGATCCCACCACCTACCTGGAAAAAACCACCAGATCCAAATAAAAGCCTCCCCCATTAGCGAAGAGATCCAGCAAAGAATCATTCCCAGAGAGAAATCATCCAGATGCCCCAAACTCTATGGTCTCCCCAAGATACACAAGGAAGGAACCCCACTCAGACCTATAGTCAGCTCCATAGGCTCACCTCTACAAACCCTAGCCAAATTTCTCGCCAAACAACTACAGCCCTATGCAGAATCCATCATCTCACACGTAAAAAACTCATTCCAGTTTATAGAGATCATAAAGAAACAAAACTTACAGCCCAGCGACCTACTAGTGAGCTTCGATGTCATATCCCTCTTCACCCAAGTGCCTATCAAAGAAGCCTTGACAGCTATTCAAAACAAATATAACCCCCCCAAACACATCTTAGATCTGATCAACCACTGCCTATCCAACACATACTTCATCTATAATGGACAAAAATACAAACAAATAGAAGGAGCACCCATGGGATCACCCCTCTCACCTGTCATTGCAAACCTCTACATGGAACACTTTGAACCCAAGCTCTAGAAAAATCGGATCACAAACCCAAACTCTGGCTCAGATATGTAGACGACACCTTCATAATCTGGCCACATGGGAAAGAAAAACTGGACCACTTCCTCACACACCTCAACAGCCTACACCCCAAAATACAGTTCACCATGGAAACAGAAGCTAACAACCAACTTCCCTTCCTGGATGTCTGAGTCTACAAGAAATCCAATGGCTCCCTAGGACACACCATCTACCAGAAGAAAACACACACAAACCGCTATCTGCACGCTCTCTCACACCACCACCCAGCACAGATCAACTCTGTAGCCAAGACACTCATCTCCAGAACAAAATGCTTAGCTGACGAACAACACCTAAAACCCAAACTACACACTCTCACCAATGTACTAACATCCAATGGATTCCATAGAAATAAGATTACAAACCTAATCCAAAAAGAAACCCCCACTAAAATCCAAGACAAAGACCAAGAAAACGGCAAAGCCCTCCTCCCATACATAAAAGGCACCACAGACAGAATCAGTAAGATCCTCCATAAACACAACATCAAAACAGCATTCTGCCCAAACAGAAAAATATCCACCATCCTTAGAAACCCCAAAGATAAAATTGAATTAGAAAATCAAGGAGTATATGAAATCCCATGCACCACTTGTCCCACCACATACATTGGACAAACCAACAGAAGAATAAGTGCACGCACTGAAGAACATAAGAACTCAGTCAAAAAAGAGGAACCAACATCTTCCCTGGTCCAACACCTTAAAGCCACAGGACATGAAATTGACTTTAAAAATACCAGAACCATTGCCATAAGTGAACATTTTAATAACAGAATAATCAGAGAAGCCATCGAGATAGAAAAACGCCCACACAGCATGAACAAGCGAGATGATACCTCCCGCCTACCAGCCATTTGGAAACCCGCCCTTATTGACAAACAACTCCCTAACACAAAAAATGATACCAGACCCACACTCACAAAAACCACACAGTATGTCACCACCACACATCCACGCAAAAAACAAACCCAAAGCCACACCGATGACGAGGCACGACCACAAACCAGAAGCCAGACCACAGCTGCATCATTAGCCACTTTAAACCCCTCCAATCCATACATGAAGCAAACTGACACCCTCCATGAAGAGGAGACACGACCACGAACGCGAAGCCAGAAAATAGCAAGGCGGCCCAAAATCTTAAACCCCTCTGCAACTCAGACTAACCTGAGCACAACCAAACA